GGGCAGAGTTAAGTAAGACAGGCAGCTAAACGCAGGCTGACAGTGTGGGATATGACTCACTAAATAACACTAACTTGCATAAGTGAAGTAGTTTGAAGAAAATTCTGCTTTTGTGGAGAAGGAAGCAATTTACCTGCAAGAGAAATTTACGGTGAAGTGTGGGGTGGTGGCGAGATACCGCCACATTGTAGGCCTTGTGACACTGGCCCCAGTGGCAAACTTCTCCTCAAAACAGACAAGCACGTGGTGTCATGTGAAATTGACTGTCGGGCAAGGGGAGATCGAAGCGCAAGTAGTATGCATGCATTGCATCTTGACTTCTGGAAAAAAATGGCATAATGTGGAAGATTCTCGAGCTTGTGTGTGCTGCAAAAACACCAAGTTATTGTGAACTTTAACGCAACTTGTAAAAAGGTGCAGGTGATTAATTTGTTCTGACAAATTTGTTGGCCTTCGAATCCCGTTACTCAAAAGTCCCCCCCTTTTGCCGAGCACTTCCATTTGATTAAATTTCATCAAATCACCATAACCATGCAGTCATTAGTCCGACACATTTAGTAGATGGTAAAATTAGACAAATTGTCCTCCTCTTTCGTCTCTTTCTTATTGGCTTGCCCATTCGCCTAATCGCATCGCAAAGCGCACTCATGCTGTCAGTGCCTATTCTGCCCTCCCAATATTCGGACATCGCGACAGATCAACCACTACCGAACCTGCTTTTTGGGACTACAATTAGCTATAATAATCTAGATTAGGAATGTACATGGTCCAAAGTGGCTTAAGGGCATGTGGAACAGGGAAAGGCTCATTTCTTACTAGTCGGGTCAACTGACCTTCGTTCTCCCTGTTCTTGCCAATGTGGAGTAATGACACAAATCCCTTCTCTACCCTGAAATAGTGACATCTGTCCTGGGTCACTTTCTCTAACTTCATTCTCAGCATGCGCCGTGACTACTGCAAGGGTTAGCATGGCCGGAGCATCGGTGATGCAGGCTGGAGGTGGCCACAACATCAGGGATTGTGACGTCAGCGTGATGGGTTTGCAGGGCGCCTAGCAGAAGAGAACTTCTCATTCTTACATGAGTCGTACACACACACACACGCACATCTTGTCCCTCCCCACTACAAAAACATACACACCTTCTGTTTAAATTCATGCAGCCTCTACAGAATGTGGGCATGTCACGATTTCAGTGTAGGGGCCCATACTAATGAACCTACAATCATGTCCTTGCACTAAAAATGCTTTTGTGAATACACATAATGTGGTTTTAGCAGTAAGCGTGTAATTTATTTCACATAATTAATGTGAAACGAAAGAGGGGCCAGAAATATCACATTAGATGTTGGGAAAAGACAAGTTCACTTGAAGGGGGACAAGTGGTTGCAACTTTAAGCTCTGTACATTGTAATTCTTGCACAAAAATTTGTTGATGGCACATGAAATTCCGAAATTAATGCCGTCGTGCTACACTGTTACTTACTGGACGCTGAAAACCCAACAAAAAACTAAAGTACGTGAGAAATCAAAAGACCTGTCTTCTTCACTTTTTTGTTTA